TTAAACAATTTTTCAAAAAAAAAAATAATAATAATTAAAAAAAAATTACTACCTTCTAGCTTAGAAACAATCTTCCCGTTTAAAGTTTGTTTCAATCATTTCACAATCTACTTCACAAATGCATAATAAAAAAGTAGGACACACATTAACATAAATGTGAAAATTAATATGACGTGACATTATATACAGAGATAATTTCACCCCTTAAAATCATTAACTATTATAGATATATCATTCTCTTTTCAAAAATTACAATAACCATCATCTAGTGTTATAAATCATTGCATATTCTTATCAACAACAAAAGAAATATAATACTCATTTACCCTTAATATTATTTTATGTTATTTTAAAATTCTTATATTGGTCTTTAAAACACACACACACACACACATATATATATTCACTTAAAAGAAATACTATTACGAATATTGTTAATATTTTTTAAAAAAATATATAAAATGCGATTATTTCATAAAATCGTCTTGTGTTTTGCAATAATTGACAAATTATTGAAGAATTTATATAAATACATGTTTCAAATAATTTAATAAAGCAAATTAAAAATTCACCAAATATTTGTATCGCTTGAATTAAAATCATTTTTTTATTTTTTTTTTATTTTGCACTCTTAAGTCTATATGATATTAAGTTTAGAAACTAATTTAAGATTATAATAACACTAAAAATACAATAGACTTGGCATCAGAGGTTTATTGCTTAGAGTTCTTTTTAGGGTCCTTTTAATTGACTTTAATTCTATGAAAAATATCACATCCGAAGAATTCGTTTTCTACTTTGACTGTTTGATACGAAAGTGGAAATGAAGTTCGAATTTCAATACACAAACACTTGAAGTTTGTTTTTGGCCAATTGAGTGACAAATGCATTCATATGATTTTGATGAGTTTTCCAACTTATATAGAATTGATTTGTCTTTTTCACATTTGCAATCAAACAAGGACTTAGTTACTTTTTGTAATTAGTATTTTAGATCGTCTTTTTAAACTGAGTAATCAATCAACATTCATGAAATAAGATTAAGATGATATCACCTTGTACAAAATGAATAAAAAATTAACTTTCTTTAATTAAATCAAATTGTTTTATCTAGATTAAAAAACGAAAACTTTATACTATTAGGGAATGTTTATGTAATTTTTAAAAGAAGAAAAAGCGTCACCACATTTGTCATATACTTTGGAGGAGGTTTTTTTAATGAACAATTATAAGGAAGGGAAAAATATAAAAATATAAAAATTCTAGACATAAAAAGACAAAATGTTTATTTATTTTATATAGGTGACAATTGTTCACCAATTAAAAACTTACGTCATACAAAATCTACTACATGAACTGACTTTTTGATAGATTTTTTTTAACAGAGATACACTTGTCGAAAATTCATTGACACTAAAAAAAAAAAGTAAAATAAATTATGCCAATCAAAAATTACCATTTCATTTTCTGTAAATAGCTTCTTGAGCTTGTTTGACTAATAGCTTGTTTGGAAGGAATTTTTTTACCCCAAAAAATTGAGTTTTTGGCCCTTATTTTACTATTTCAATCGTAATTTTTGACTTCTTCTTTCACAGGTGGACCCCACTTTTCTTCTAACGATCAAAAAATCAATTCTCAAAATATCTCCCAAACGGTGCCTAAGTTTAATCACTATGCCCTACATCATTGGCTGCTGCTAACAGACCATAGGGAACTACGTTCAAATGTGGTTTTCAGCTATTTTATTTATTCTCCCATAGAGTCAAAAATGGTTGGAATTTTTTATTCCTCGTGGTGCGATAAATCTTAAAAACGAGCTTCTTAGGAAAATTTTATACTTTAAATTCAAACCTTGAATATGCCATTCAGGGAATTGGGACACCTTCATTAATACAGAGAATATCCGACGTCCATATTCTCCGAATTTTTGTTTCCATAATGACCCCTGAGTTGGATTGTCTATTGCTTCTTTGGTACAGATTTTAAGTCAATTGAAATCACTATTTTCGTCGTCATTTTTGAATTCTTCTCTCGCAGGTAGAATCCACTTTATCTATAATGGTCAAAAAATCAATTATCAAAATTCCTACCAAACAAGCACCTGGTTTAATCATAATAGACCATAAGGAACTACGATCAAATGTCGTTTTCAAGCTGCCATGAACCATAAGGAACTACGATCAAATGTCATTTTCAGTCAATTATTTTTGTCCCAAAAAGTCAAAAATGGTTGGAATTTTTTATTGTTTGTACTATGCAGTGCGAAAAATCTTAAGAACGAGCCTTCTAGGAAAATTCGATATTTTAAAAATTCAAACCTTGTATAAACTAGAATATTGTTGGTTGTACACTATGGTATATAGCCTGGCGTACAACCATCTCATATGAAGGCAGCCCATCATAAATAAAAAAATCGTGAATCCCTATTGTGAGGACGCTATACACTATACTATACAAAGCACGATATACACGTAGCAGGCTTCAATAAACTATTCAGGGAGTTGGGTCGCCTTCATGAATATCCAACGTCCATATTCTCCAAATTCTTGTTTACGTAATAGCCCTTGAGTTGGATGGTGAAATAACAAAAATGCCCTGTCAAATTTTGGTCAATCATGTAGCACAAAGTTGAAATAGTACAATCATTTTTATTGAATAAAGCTACTCAAACAGTGGCAGTTGATAGGATTAGGGGCTATTTTCTGTATATATATAGTGTGCTTTGCACTTGCTATCACCTTGGCTACTAAACTTTAATTTGTTATGGATCCATCACATAACTTTATAAAATGTGTCAATCAAGTCACCTAGTTAATCAGCAGTCTATTCAATAAGTAGAAAAGGAGGGCCGAGGGATATCTTGGCATAGCAAATCCAAAAGAATTGTGCTTACTTGCACAGTTTATCACATATAAATGGCGAGAAATAGGAAAATTTTTGAAGATCTTAGACTGCACATTGATAGCATAGTGAGATCAATCCAAACATGTGTATATAAAATCATTTTTTTTTTTTTTTTCTTTCCCCTTTTTTTTTTTTTTTTTTTTAAAAAAAAATTCCCAAATTATCCAATGAATATTTGACCCATGACCCATATTTTTAAATTCTGTCATTAATTTTGTTTATATAGCAAGATAGATTTTTATTTGTAGCAAGATACAGTCAGCCCCCATATATGAAAATCGCAGACTCAGACAAGGACCTAAATCGTCAATGAAGTCTCCTATCATGCACGTGCTTTTAGTTTTTGAATAAACTGTATTCATGTAAGACTTTGCTTTCACGAGTTTTAAATACATTTGATTTACCAGAATTACGTGCAACAAAAAACATCACAGTTTTACTGTTTTATTATTTCTTTTATTTTTTATTTTTTTTTTGATATTCAGGTATCCCAACTTATACTAGATTAAATCCTGAACCCCCAAAATCCTTGCCCCTAAAACCTTAGAAGGGGTAAATCGCAGGTTATACATCAATAGAATCATAGGTTCTCCCACCATCTGTACACTTCTGCGTACAAGAGATCCTCCTCCAAAGTAATTGCTCCATACCAAATAAATCTGGCTGCAGGCTCCCACCAAGATTCGAACCTCCACCCTACCGCTGGAAGCAAGACAAATATTGATTGATCCACCAGTTGATTCATATTTTCAATTTATCACTGACATTTAAAATGTCAAGTTTTGTTCATCAAACTTTGAAAAATATTGTACGCTACCCACTAACATAAATATTGAATATTGAAAAATGACGAGTTTACAATGAGTAATTTACAATATTTTTCAAAGTTCAGTGGTCAAAAATAGACATTTTAAATTTCAGTGAGTAATCGAAGACATGAACTTAAATTCAATGATCAAAACTCGACATTTTAAATTTCAGTGACCAATCAAAGACATAAATTTAAGTTCAGTAACCATTGGAACAAATAACTCAAATATATGTGAAAGGTTAGTAAAATTAAATTCAATGAAGCAATCGTGTCAAATACGTGTATTGACTGTTTGGTTGAAATAAATTTCTGATTTTAATTTCAATTAAAAATTAACAAATTTTATGGGATCTACAACTTTTTAATTACATATTTCATCAACTTTAATCAAAATTTACTAAAAATCTAATTTTAGTTCCCGCCAAAGAATGGCTGAATTAATTTTTTAGGTTATGAAATTAATCACTGTTGACATATTCTCCTTCTTTTGATAATCAGGAAAACTTAAATCTTAATATTGCTCAACAACAAATATCTATAATTTAAAATTCACACTAAAGAATTATATATCATTAAGGAGCAGTCCATTGATGAAAGGCCTGTGAAAATGATGCATAGTAGCGCGCAATAAGGAAAAGTGATAACACTTATAATGAAAAATATTCTAGTTCATGTTCATTCAATTATCAATGCAAGAAAATTAGGCATCGAAATTGGGAAATTTTTTTTTTTTCAGATAATACCGAGAATTTAAAGACATAATTGAGAATACTAAATTTTTTATTTCTTTAAATTCCATTTTTTTTTAGATCAAAATGATCTTATTAATACAATTAAATGGAATCCTACCATAAGCAAAAGCTTAATCAAAGAAAACAATCTAAAATTATCATAAATAATTAATGATTTTCATACGAAACTGCATCGTAATTTCTATTCAAAGTAGCTTTATAATTCTTTTTTAAATCCATTTGTTCACTGTACCTGTATTATTCCTACCAGAAAGAAGCTTGCCTTCCTTGACTAAAAGTTTAAAAATTAGGATAATGTCATTTGTATACCATTTACATGACATTACCACTGTTATGAAACTGAGTACTGAAAAAACCTTTTTATTTTTAAACTATACAATAAAACTTGATGTACACCAAGTATCATTATAAAAATTATCCATTCCTTACGAAAACATTTTATATAGTCGTCAAGAGTGACCACGTGACAAAAAAATATTGCCCATTAACTGAGTTTTTGCCTATATAAACAACCTGAGCTATATACTCTTCAGTTTCATCATAAACAGCTATTCTGCTTTTAAGATAATATTTTCTCATCTTTCTTATACTATTTACAAGAAGAGAATGGCCCCGACTCTTGTTGCAAATGCTACCAATGGCGAAAAGGAGATTGTTCGTCCAGTCGCCAATTTCTCTCCCAGTTTATGGGGTGAACAGTTCATCAATTTTGTTTTTGATGCTGAGGTATCGATCCCTATATATGTTTTAGATTTTTTATTTATTTATGTGTTTGTGGCTCTGTAATATAATGACTAATGCAAATCGTTTTAGTTTACGAAAAATTGAAGTCATTTATCAATTCGTATGGCACTCCAAATTTCCTCGAAGTTTTAACTTTTTCAGCATAAAACAAGATTTTTTCCTTTTTGATGCTGAGGTATCGATCCCTATATATGTTTTAGATTTTTTATTTATTTATGTGTTTGTGGCTCTGTAATATAATGACTAATGCAAATCGTTTTAGTTTACGAAAAATTGAAGTCATTTATCAATTCGTATGGCACTCCAAATTTCCTCGAAGTTTTAACTTTTTCAGCATAAAACAAGATTTTTTCCGTTTGCTTATAAAAGGTAGCTTTAAATGACACGTAATGAATCATCCTGGAAATTAATAGGAAAATACTGCATGGCTAGTGCCTTTAATTCAGTTCATCATTTTACTACTGATACCAAGTTATTGATCCTTCCCATCATTTTCTTCAATGGATTCAGTTAAGTCACGTCATCGATCTTGTTTTCTCATGTCTAGTTTTCATTAAGAAAAAAATATTTTTTCCCATTTGTAAGGATTTGAGTTCTAATTTGTGAAAGAATACATCAGATCGTTTTAACCGGGAATTTCAAACTGCAAACTCTTTAGTATGTATGTTAATAAAAGGATTGAAACAACATTTGCTTATAATACGTTGTCCTTGTGGAATCATGTAGTTAACAGAGAAATATGACAAGGAGATTGAAGGGCTTAAGAATGACGTGAAAAGCATGCTAACAGCTCCTGGAAAAGACATGGTGGAGACTATGAATTTGATCGAAACACTTGAGCGCTTGGGCATCTCATATCACTTTGCAAACGAGATTGAAGAACTACTAGATCATTTCTTTAATCTCAACTCAAACTATGCAGATGAAGCCTATGATTTATACACCGTTGCACTTCATTTTCGTTTATTTAGACAACATGGCCACCGTATATCTTGTGATGTCTTTAAAAAATTCATAGACGAGACTGGAAAATTCAAAGAGTCTATTAAGAGCGATGCAATAGGATTGTTGAGCTTATATGAAGCAGCATATTTAAGAGTGCATGGAGAAGATATACTAGAAGACGCTCTCGCTTTTACAACAGAAAACCTGAAATCCATGGCACCAAATCTAAGCTCTACCCTTGGGAAACAAGTAGCTCATTCCCTTGTTCAATGCATCCATTTTGGGAACCCAAGAATTGAGGCACGTAACTTTATCTCCATCTACCAAGAAGATGAGTCCAGGAATGAAATGCTTCTGAGGTTTGCCAAATTGGACTATAATTCATTGCAGATGTTGCATAAAAAGGAGCTCTATGAAGTATCAAGGTAATGTTCAATTGACAAGTTCATAAGATTAAAACCTCTAAGTATGTATGTGTGTGTGTACGTCAATTAATAACATGCTTCTTATATATATTGCAGGTGGTGGAAGGATTTGGACCTTGTTTCTAAGCTTCCATATGCTAGAGACCGAGTTGTAGAATGTTTTTTCTGGGCTATGGGAGTTTATCATGAACCTCAATATTCCATTGCTCGAATCATGCTCACCAAAACCATTGCAATGACGTCAATAATAGATGATACATATGACGCCTATGGTGTAGTTGAAGAACTTGAAATTTTTACGGATGCCATTCAAAAGTACATATTTCTTTTATTCCATGCATCACTAATAGTAAAAAATATTTTTTTTTTGTTATATTAATCAATTGTGTACTCGTGATTGCAATCATTCTAGGTGGGATATTAGTGAGATTCATCGGCTACCAGAGTATATCAAACCATTTTACAGTGCTCTTCTAAATCTTTATGAGCAATTTGATGAAGAACTATCGAAAGAAGGACGATCTTATGCCATCTACTATGCAAAAGAAGCGGTTAGTGTTACTTTTTAATATTACTCCTCGATTATGTTATTCCTATTTTTCTTGCTTTCTATTATCTTTCTTATACCTAAGTTTCCCTGGTTAACTCACACATGTCATAAAAAAATTGTTCAGCTAAAAGAACTTGTAAGGACATACTATGTAGAAGCCAAGTGGTTTATTGAAGGATACTTGCCACCATTTTCGGAGTACATGAGCAATGCCTTAATAACGTGCACTTATGTGTATCATACAACTACATCCTTATTGGGGATCAAATCCGTTACCAAGGAAGAGTTTGAGTGGCTAAGCAAAAAACCTAAAATGCTTGTTGCAAGCCTCATAATATGTCGGCTCGTTGACGATATAGCGACCTATGAGGTATGGAATACAAAAATTTTGTTGTAAGTAAACATCAATTCCACTAATAAATAACTTTATTTCCCTTATTTAAGAGTTTTCTCCACATTTTGTCTCATTAAAGGTTGAGAAGGGAAGGGGCCAAATTGCTACCGGCATTGAATCGTACATGAAGGAAAATGGTGTGACAAAAGAAGTGGCTGTTGATAAATTTTTTGAAATGGTTGCAAATGCATGGAAGGATATTAATGAAGAATGTTTCCGACCAAGTTCCTCTCCAAGAGAAATTTTGATGCGAATTCTAAATCTTGAACGCATTATAGATGTCACTTATAAAGGCAATGAAGATGGATATACACAACCACAAAAAGTTCTAAAGCCTCACATCATTGCTTTGTTTATTGATCCCATCGAGGTCTAAGTACTATTTGGGATCAGGTTGGACAAAAATGGATATCTTTAAATTTTAATTTGTTTTACTTTTATGTAAAATCGTTGAGTATGTTTGCAATAAAATTCTAATGTACTTCCTTTTCAAAGTCATTTATTCTTCGATATTATTGACATTCACGATCAAAATTAATGCAACGAACTGGATGCCTTCCCTTACCAGTGACAACAGAGAAACGAGGCAAAATTNATTATTGACATTCACGATCAAAATTAATGCAACGAACTGGATGCCTTCCCTTACCAGTGACAACAGAGAAACGAGGCAAAATTCAACGTTAACAGCGTCATGAGGTCTTCTCTAAATTCTGTAGAATACTTAATATATACTAACATATAGTCAAAAATCCTATTCAAGAGAGAAAATCAATACTAACCTACAGTCAAACAATCTTTTTCTAGTTCCCCTATGTTAGGTAGAGAAATAATCACATCAACAATTTTATTGTTAAATAATCTTGTTCAAGTTCTGTGGATTACTAATTAGCTTCGAGAAGAACTAGGGTTTAAGCTTGTTTAACTTTAATTATTTCAATAACTTACCCTTTTTAACTAGAGATCATATTATATTTTCTATAATTTTCAAGACTTTAGGTGCAGTTTTTACTTATATACCTACGACACATTTAGTCCCGTAGTTAAACCTGCAACCATTCACATTGCGTTATCTATTGTTGTAATTAAAGGTAGGGTCGCTCATATATTGGATGTTAATAATGCTTTCTTGCACGGAAAACTTAGCGAAGAAATTTATGACGTCTCAAAATAAGGCGTACTTTAGCATATAAAGCGTGAATGTAGCACAAAATGCCTCCAATTTTCTGGAAATGATGGTGCGTGAAATCAAAGGAAGCTCTTTATTTGCTGTTTGATACTGCTCCAGTTGCCAGAATCGAAAAACCAGCGTATAATATGATCCTACAACCTTTTATACCGTATCGTAAGCTCATAAAAAATTAGCTTCTTGATGCTTGTCTCTAGTACAAGTATTGCTATTTCTGAACGAATTCGCAATGACCTGAGCTATAGTGAGAGGGGCAGCAGCAGCTAAACCTAGGATGACAGTCTCGTGGTTTGGCTCTTTGCAGTTTAGTCTCAAAAGCAAAAAAGAAGAATGAAACAGTAATTTCATGTGTTATTGCTATTGAAACAGCAACGTCTCGCCTGGCTTTGAAACGATTCGGCTCCGAATTCTCCGATTCCAAGACACCAGCAATGACTTCCAAAGCTACAATAAAAACTGCATGGGAAGAAACTAATGTACAGTCCCAAAATTTTCTACATTTTCAAGATAATCGATTTGTACTCTACCTCCCACTTTATGTAGCTTTGTAGTAGATAAAATTATCGAGCAACGCAGAATTGCATAATCAATACTCTATATCACAATATTGAGATAGCGACCTCATTAAGCCCCTGTCAGGGCTCAATTGTGGGATTTTTGGGTCAAATCAACCGGGCCCATAGTTCGACGTGCATTCCCTTTCATGAATGGGATATTTTAAAAAAAGTCCAATTTTAGGGGTGTTAATTCAAAAATGTCCATTTTTTGAATTTAGTACTAAATTGTTCATTATGCCCTTAATGAAAAAATGAAGCAATTAATTTTTTTTCCAATTTTTCGTGAATTTCGAGAAGTAGTTTCCATAAGAAACTACATTAAAATGATGTTCTTGACATTTCAAATGTCGTTCTCAATATTTGAACCCCGTGTATATTTCAAAAGTACACATGTCAAATCATAACATTAAATATTCTCGATATTTCAAATGTTATTCTCGACATATTAGATGTTTAAAATGGCATTTCATTCCGAACATGACATTTCTCTACATTTGAAATATAATTCTCGACATTTCAGTATCAATGAAAAAAATAGAATTTATTGTGATTTGATGTGTGCATTTTTTAAATAAATGGGGCAGATCATGTGTCAAAATGTTATTGGTCAATAAAATTTTTAATTGTAAAAATGTCCAATTTGTCTTTGTGTNAAATAAATGGGGCAGATCATGTGTCAAAATGTTATTGGTCAATAAAATTTTTAATTGTAAAAATGTCCAATTTGTCTTTGTGTAGAATCATAAATTGTTAACAAGGGTATTTTGTTTAAATTATTTCAAAATGGACATTTTTGCAAGGATTTGCAATAACGGACATTTTTGCAAATGAATATGTGAAAGTAGATATTTCTAGTAATTTTCTCATTATGTGTACTTTGAATATGATTACGCCTCCATTTGGCCTCCATTTTTTAGAAATGATAATGGGTGGAATAGTGTTTTTTTTTTAAATAAGTGGTTGAAAAATAAGAAAAAATTTTCGATTTACATACAATATTATTTTATGGAAGATTGCGTAATTAAAAATAAGAGAAAAAAATGGAATGGAATGAAAATTAATGGGGGCCAAACGGGGGCACGTGTCCTCTCTTGTCCATTTCCTTTGACTATTCGACAATAAATAGAAATTGAGATTTTTGAATGGAGATCTGTTATTTGTATAGAAAATATGCTATCAGGATTTATACAGAAAATAATTAACAATTTTTTGTTGGACCAAAAAAATAAATAAATAAATAAAAGACAAACCAAACAGATGCAACAATGCTTCTGTGCAAGCACAGAAATTCTTTTGAATTTCCCAAGAGATAATGATGTTGCTTGTTTGTGGACCCACCTCTACATGTGAACAATGTTTGAAGTTGAATAAAAAATGGGCCATACATGCATCGAAGCTGTTAATTAATTAATTAATTAATTAATTATTATTTTGATTCTTCGGATATAATAACCATTTCAAACACTGATATAGTCATCTTAACGACGCCCACGTTATTATTCTTTTTTTCGTTTATTTATACACATATACTCATTGTTATCGTGTCAAATAATCTCACTAATGACTCCACTCATTTCGTAGTATTTCAAGTGCATTCATTTCAACATCAACTTCGTCGTGTTCGTCTAACGGCTCCATCTCTACAACGTCAAGATTTGTCTCCACTCTCGTAAATGCTTTGTCAAACACTCTTGCTCATTGAAAGAAGTTGTAAACGCCTATAGTTATTATTATAGCAGCATTCTGCACTCTAAAATTATAACTCGGCATATGATTAAGTATTTTCCATCGAGCTTTCCAAACACTGAATGCATGTTCGAAAGTTACGCCTACAATCTGTCTCCTCGTCATAGAATTACTAAAAATAGTATAATAAATCGGATCCCTTATATAGAGCCATGTACCCTGGTTGATGGGCGAACCCGAGTCGATCAGATAATATTTTCCTGCTGCTCGTTGTGGAAAATTAATATCAGGGCTCTGTATAGCACGAGGCAAGATGCGGGCATCATGAGTATTCCCCATTATACCAGCCAGCACAAATGTGAAAAAAAAAAGTTTAAAATCAAATGCTGATAGCACATTTTGAGTTGAAATTTTTTTTGTATCCAATAAAATTAACTCGTTGATCTCGTGGCAAAACGGCTCTCGCGTTCTATCAATCACACTTGTGCAATTCTAGAACACTGGATGCTTGTTCAAATTTGATCTGTGAAGATCGGCACCGTTATTATAGTTTGGATTTGGTCTAATTCTCCAATGAAATGACAAGGGCGTACAATATTACATGTGATTGATCGAAAGTCTAGAAGTAAAGTTGTATTTATTCACCATCGCTGAAGAAAATCTAACTACTATTTTTGTATGAATACAATGAAATATCAAAGTGAATCTCATATTTCCACAATGAAAATGACATTGCATAAATACTACTTCAAATCAAACTTATTGGACGGTGATAGTGCATGAACACTGATATTGGATGGCGTAGACAACAGCCTGCGATAATGAGCAAGATTGGGCATTATACGTTGAGCAAGATCATCGACCCCCTGGGGTTGCTCTACCTCTACGCGAGACCATCGACCCCCATGTGCTCTCTACCTCTACGCGTGGTCATCGACCTCCCATAGATGGTCTACCTCTACGCGTGGTCGTTGACCCCCGACAGGCGCTCTACCTCTACACGAAGCCATCGACCTCCCATAGGTTCTACCTCTACGCGAGGTCATCGACCCCCTATGTGAGCTCCACCTCTACGCGAGGTCATCAACCCCCACGGGCGCTCTAACTCTACGCGAGGCTATCGACTCCCCATGGGTGCTCTATCTCTGTGCGAGGGCATCGACCCCCACGGGCGCTCTACCTCTACGCGAGGTCATCGACCCCCCGTGGGAGCTCTACGTTCATATGAGGTTATCGATCGGCATGAAATTACCTACGTGGCCACCCCTAAACTAAGCCATAAAATCTCTGATAAATTGACAAGGTTCCATGGCGGTTATTTTTTTCGTTTATTTATACACATATACTCATTGTTATCGTGTCAAATAATCTCACTAATGACTCCACTCATTTCGTAGTATTTCAAGTGCATTCATTTCAACATCAACTTCGTCGTGTTCGTCTAACGGCTCCATCTCTACAACGTCAAGATTTGTCTCCACTCTCGTAAATGCTTTGTCAAACACTCTCGCTCATTGAAAGAAGTTGTAAACGCCCATAGTTATTATTATAGCAGCATTCTGCACTCTAAAATTATAACTCGGCATATGATTAAGTATTTTCCATCGAGCTTTCCAAACACTGAATGCATGTTCGAAAGTTACGCCTACAATCTGTCTCCTCGTCATAGAATTACTAAAAATAGTATAATAAATCGGATCCCTTATATAGAGCCATGTACCCTGGTTGATGGGCGAACCCGAGTCGATCAGATAATATTTTCCTGCTGCTCGTTGTGGAAAATTAATATCAGGGCTCTGTATAGCACGAGGCAAGATGCGGGCATCATGAGTATTCCCCATTATACCAGCCAGCACAAATGTGAAAAAAAAAAGTTTAAAATCAAATGCTGATAGCACATTTTGAGTTGAAATTTTTTTTGTATCCAATAAAATTAACTCGTTGATCTCGTGGCAAAACGGCTCTCGCGTTCTATCAATCACACTTGTGCAATTCTAGAACACTGGATGCTTGTTCAAATTTGATCTGTGAAGATCGGCACCGTTATTATAGTTTGGATTTGGTCT